TCCGATGTTTAAACAATTTCCGTATTATTTTTGCACAGGTGCAGCACTTCAGTCTAAATTCTGTTACCGGGACCTTGTGTCTGTCAATTGTTGGTACTTTCTGTAACGCTCCCCGACATTTCACGTGCGCGAAGACAGAAAGGCTGCAGACAGACCTTGCCAGTGTTTAAGCCAAACTGCAACATGGTGTGGAGTTGCAGGACAAGCACTGCGACCCAGTCACTTAACACTTCATTTTGTCATAAAGACATGAGAGAGGTGCTGAGGGGTGCTCTTGCTGTGAACCAGGAAACGGAAGGAAAGGCAACAGGCTGGAACAAAGAGGCCCAGGAGCTGCAGTGATGTTTGTGAGCCTCACGAAAGGACCTCCAAGAACATCCTCGTGCACCTGCTTCCCTGCTCGTTTTACACACCACCACGAGGAGACCCACTGCTAATTTGCTGTTGAAAGAACCTTCTTTGGTTGTGGTCCTTAAAGGTGTCGATGCTTTGCTCAAATGCCAGCCTAAGTACCAGAAACTGGCTTCTCCTAAACGCCATCACAACAAGTGACAGCACGTGTGTTGAAGCTAATAGGGGTGGTGTAAACTTCATTTGGTTTCTGCTTGTTTGAATGAGTTTGAGCCAAACGAGCGATGTTTCTGGGTGATACTTATTCGCACCTCTGTCATCCCACTGATGCTCATGTCGCGTTATGGACTCTTGCGAGCCCACGGAGGTGTTATGCTGAAACACAACTCCGTTTTGCACAATCCCAGCTGTAGCGCTACATAAAGAGTAACAGGTTCACCCTCCCTTTGTGCGTGAGTGACAGGCGGGTATTTACTTCAGGCAGCTGGAACGCTGAAGGCAGTTGTCCAGGCATGGGACACCACCGTACGCTGGTCTTACTACTTCTCGGGCAGAGGGGTTTTAACAGGCCTGGACTAGCTTTTCACTCTGCATGTTGGGAGGAACTACTCCAACATTAAAGGTCCCCTGTTCTTCCCTTATTATCTGCATGTGGCTTTTACTGATAAGGGTGGGAATGACATGAATTTTCCTAAGTGTGTAATCCGTCTCCTCGGAAAGCCTCCTGCATCTCTAGAAATGCATTGTGCATCCTGCTAAACGCTCTCTCTCAAGAAGCGCGATCCACTTTTGTGAACGGGAGTAGCTTGGTTGTATTAGATAGCTTCCCCCAAAAAGACAGAAAGAAAACCCCTAGAAATGCAGAAAAAAATCCCAGAAAACCCCCAGAACCCACCCCCCCCAGCTCAGAAATTATATTCTGCTCTGTTACATTGTCACTGTCTATAGAGTAGCTCTGGTTTCCACCCATAGAACTTGGAGGAAAGCTTGCCTCTGCCTTTAAAGATGGTAGTCTGTACCCCAAACAAGGACATCAACTATTTCAAGCTCAGTAGGCGCAAACCAGTCAAGTTTCTGCATGCCTTGTATGTAGCATTTGGTGTACTTGAAAAGCCCAGACGTAACCTGCTTTTGGAAGAGGAGCAAGCGCTGACCAAATTGCTCAGACTCTCACCGGAGGTCTCTGGCAGAACCGGGTGGACACACGTGACCATGGCATGGACCGGCGCGCCAGGCTCTGTCCTGCTGGCAGGAGGAGATGGGACCACGAAATGATGCCCACGTGTAGGTGCGCCCGTCAGATGTTTGACATATGGCTGCATCTGGCTGGTACATGGTTGAAAAACGTTGTCAAGCAGCCTCTTGTCTCTGAGAGGCATCCATTCAACACCTGGGCTTTTAAACTTTGCCATTAAAAGGCTGCTGTTTTGGTATAAAGGGCAGCCTCAGCATGGGGACAGATGGTACTTTGCCTCAGTAGGGCCCTTGTAGTCCATATAAAGCCGGAGCCACAGGTGGCCGAGGTTTGAAAGCGCCTTTTTCCCCCCTCCCTCGGTGACTTTGCCGTAACAACTGGAATTTGTTAGATGAAGACGTCTGCCGCAGTACAGGATGCGGGCTGGCGAGGGGCTCCTCTCATGTGCTCGAGGCAGGACCAGAAACCGCGCTTGAAGGGGGTGATTAATGGAAGAGAAGCTGCTTACTCAGCGACCGAAGGGAGCCCATCTTTCTTCAGTATGCTGCTTTGCTTGAGAAACACGCTTTTAAAGTCAATCTTGCAGCTATATAAACCAACAAGGAGGTTTTCAACTTCAGCTTTTCTGTTACAGAAGCTCACATTGCCTTTACATTTATATATTTTGGAGAGAAAACTATGTACAGCACTAGACTTTATCCATCTAGTCTTTTATCTCAAAAAGGTAACGTACAGATATCTTGTCCCAGACACTTGTGCATGAAAGGGAGCAAAGTGAAGAAAGACTGCAATAACCTTCAGAGTGGTTTTATTTGTTCTAGTGCTACAGATGATGTGGTGAAGTAATTGGTACCTTAGCTTTTTACTGTGCTTAAACAGCTGTCATGTTTATTAGAATTAAGTTCACACCCAAAAAGTAGCATGTTAACACAATTGGTTGCATTTTCTTAACTGATGCACAAAGTTCTGCTTAAAAAGCTGTGTTTAAGAGCATGGCATAATGATTTAAGCGTACAGCTACAATGACAAGTTTTATACCAGTAATATTAACAGCACAAAACCCCCACAGCTTGTCTTAATGTTTTAATACACTTGAAGCTCAACTTGTGGTCAAACTCCTCTAGAATCAATATAAAATGGAACAACTTACAGCTTTAAAATTTTCTTTGACTTTTGCATCTGCTGTGAATCCAGATTTTTGGTAATTTTGTTTGGCCTTATTCCCCTCCAATGTGTTTCTTTTAAACTTAGAAGGCTGTAAATCTTGATTTTTATTCCACATGCCAAATGCCTCAATATGATTTGGAGTACAGATGAGAAATCTCAGTTCTGTAAATGGGCATAGTGTTATATATTCCTAAACTCTAAAATTTCACATTAGTCTTTCTGGGTGGTAACTTTTTTTTGTTTGGGGATTTTTTTGTTTATTTGTGGTTTGTTGGGTTTTGTTTGTTTTTTTTTTTTTTTTAAGGTTAGTATATGGGCTAATTACCAAACTGATGTTGCTCACCTGAATTGGTTCTTGTCAGTAAACACCTAGCAGAAGAATCGCCATGGGAGTTTAACAAGAGCCAAGTGAGGTATACAGCAAATACCCTAAAAGACAAGGTAAGCTTGCTGCTGATGAATTCATTTAGTCTTTTTGTAAATTCCAGCTTCACGTGGCTTGAATTTTTAAAATGCTGAACAATCCACTGCTGAAACAGGATGCTATTAGCTAAATTCCTGTGAGGCTCAATTTCACATATCAGAATGTGTGCAGTGTTTTCATAAAAAATACAAAAAGAAAGAAAATAAACTACACCAGAAATAATGATTTTAAAAGCTCGGATATTTGTAGACCATGCTTTGCAAGTAAGATTTGTTTAGCAGTTTGACAATAGCATTACAAGGTCCTGTATGTCAAAGCCAGCTAGACAGCTGCTCACATTAGTTTACGTGGTGCTTTGTTTTTAACAATGATTTCACATTTATTGAAAGGATACAGTAGCATACTGTTACTCAAAGCATAGCAAAAATACACAAAAACCAGACTTTCCAAAATATTTGAATGTCCAAAAAGTTAAAGGTACTTGGTAACTTAATAATAATAAATTCTGTCACCCTGACCAATCCCCTGCATCTTCGTAGCTCCCTTGCTCAGCACGCAGCATTTGGGTACAGGTTCCATTCCCCAGTACTAGGCAGCTTTCAAAGTACCTAGGTTTTAAACCAGCAGTGTTCCTCCATTTCTTCTTCTTCCTGGCCTACTGCCGAGTTAGTTCAATTAGCTAAGAATTCGGGGATGCAAGTCCTTACATTTTCTTTGTTTAGCTCCGGTTGTCTGGAAATTTTGTTTTCTGACCTCACTGTTTATTGGTTGCTTCATTTCCAGGAGAACTCTGCTGTCATCAGGAGTTACGATTGCAGAGAGAAAAATGACTAGAAGTCCCTTGGAGGAAGGAGAAAGATCTAATGGAGATACAGTCCAGAAAGGCAACCAGGGAGGGTGCCTTCAACGCTGACCTGTACTGCTAAGCAGCTAGGATGTTGCATTGTTTAGACAGGAAGGAGTTGCACTCGTGAGTAAAGCAACGTTCTGCAGTGATACCTGCACAGTATTGGTCTGACCAGCTTGCCAGACCCCTTTAGACAAGAAGCAGTTTCACTGCAAATGGTTTTCAGGACCATATCTGCAACCCTGACACCCACGCGATGCTGGGCGTGCTTGGCAGGGGTCACCTGAGCCTTTTTGCCTCCAGGTCGAGTGTTGCAGGGGGTTGCTTCCCAGTGGTGGTGGGGCTATGCCTGGGCTTTCCCTTTTGCATAGAAAGGCTGGACAGTCTGTACTCTTGACGCAAGGGAACAAAAAGCAACATGAAGTTAGCATGTAGGTTTTTCATTTCTCATGTCAGAGAAGCCTAGCTGGTCTTTCCATTCATCAAATGGATCACGGCAGGTGAACAGAACATTCAGGTGAATTATTCAGCAAATTGTCTTGCTTTCTTTTATTTCTTCCATTTTCTGTCATTTCTTTCAGTTGACTATAATCTATAGCAACCTTCCTTCATCTTTTACTCCATTACCTGGTAAGCATTTTCTTTTTTACAGATGGAGCATTTTCTCTCAAAGCTGGAGGCGTCTGACAGGATTTGTGGCTACAAGCGGATTGCATCCCCCGTCAGTGGGCTGTTGGCTTCCAGAGGTGCGGTGCCTTCGCGGTGGCTTTGCCCAGGCATGTTTGCGGCTCAGCTTCTTGTGCCATTTTGGAGATTAGGTGGGGCTGGTTAGAAATTGTGTGATATATGCTTCACTCAGCCCAGCTCCAGAAAGGCACTTTTGGGGGATAAGCTGTTGTGACGTACTGCTTCCTCGCTTCTCCTCAAATCCCAGACCACTGGGCTTAGCATGCACGTGGTCAGCATGAGAATGTATTTTCCCATCTGCATGTATTTGCCATTTAGGCAACATTTAGTCAGTATTCAGCACTCTCAAACCTTAAGGTCTGCCCTTCGTGCTCAGCATAGCTGTTCCCCAGCGGTGGCCCATACCGATAGGTCTCCACGCTCTCGGCTGGTTCGGACTTCGTGGGGACTGGGTCATGCTGGTAGAGCAGCGCTGACTTTATCATCCCAAAGTCTTCCTGAATCTTCATCCCTGAATAGATAGCGCCCGAGACGTTTTCTGCCACGTGGGTATAGCTCTGAAGATTTTTCATATCGCAGAGGTTGTCGCTGTATTTCAGCGCGGACGGCTTGTAGGCCTGGTAGGACACCTTGGTGGTGGTTGTGATGACAGTTTGCAATGGCGGGGCCATGGGAGAGGGGCTGGGACCATACCTGCAGGGGTAGTCCCCACCGTAGTAAGGGTGGTTAGTGCTTGCTTGCATCTGTCCGTAGTCACCCCCCCAAGCTGGCTTCAGTCCGTAATGTCTGCCAGGGTTATCGAAGCTCTTATCATGGGCAGTCACAGCACCGTAGTGAGATCCATTCAAACCGAGGGGGTCGGCATCGATGGCAGGACTTGTCAGGTCTTTGTAAAATGCTGGGTAAGGGCTGGAGCTTATAAAGGTAGGAACTCCAAAATCGTAGCTGCACGGCCTGGGCACGCAGACTCTTGGATTGGGGCACTTTGAGTATGGCGATAGCTGGTCCTCTTGGAAGCTGGCTGAGTCGTAAGATGCTTTGTAGAGGTCAGCATTTTGCAGCGAAGGATAAGACTGGGCTGGAATCGAAAAATTGGTGTCTGTGATGATACCAACCCTTTCTGGGCCATCCACGCAGGGCAGATTCTGTAGGTTACTGGTGTAACCGCCGCTGTCGTGGTACCTTCCTGCCTGACAAGGACAAGAGAATCTTTGAGATTTGGGAATGGATACTACCCGCACATGTGTATGTGTCAACAGTTGCGCTATTGCTCATTTCAGCCCCAAACGAACCGATGTAGCGTGCTGTAAAGCTTTGGTTTGCCCTGGGATCCCCAGAACGTGCTTATGACACCTTTTTAATTGACCAAAAAAATCTTGACTTACCTCTGAGTTTAGAGATCTCTTTTTCTGGGAATGGTGAGAAAAGGACATTTGCTTCTTAATTGCACTTCGTCTTGCCTCTGCTTCCAGTTTGCTCTCTGGCCTGGGGTGGTCATGGACTCCTTTAGCCTAAATTAGGTTTAACAAAGAATTAGACGTGAACTGGAAGGGGATAACAGAAAACGTTAATAGTAGAATGAGAGGTAGCTGCAGCATGGTCTGTGTTTTTGCACAAGAGAACGGGGAGGAGAAACTAAACAACAAGGAGAGATTAAATTTAAAAATAAATAAAATAAATCATGATTTGCAGGTAGCTAGAAGGAAAAAAGTGAGGGAGAAGCCAGTGAGGACTGCAGAGCTGCAAGGCTGGATGATGAAGGAGCGAAGGTGTTACTTGTGTTTGTGACATTCAGGAGTAGTTGATTAGAACCAAGGGGAAAAAAAAAAAAGATTATAAATATAGTTTGGTTGATTTTCTGCAGTCCAGGATCTCAGTTCTGCTTTATAACAGCCATCACTAAAACAGCATAAATAGGCTTTTAAAGAGGTTTCACACCACCAGATGACAAATATTCTCTACTCTAAAACCAGTAAACACCTTCTTGAAGGGGACTGAAAGGTATGCCCTGGAAAGCCATCCAAAGATGCTCTGCTATTGAAACATCTGTGGATACACAGGCCTATTTATCCAAAGCTATGTTGACATATATAATAAAACAATATATTCTACATGTCCTTATACATTACGTTTCCCTAAATGGACCTCCATATAGCCCCTAATACAGAGTAGGAAACTTAAAATTGCTTTTAAAATGCTGTCCTTTCTCAAGTAGAAATTAGCTTGTAAGCAAGGATTTATTGACTGTTTTAATGATAAGAATCTTCAGGTTTTGCATGTCTGTAACAGAATATCTGAATGATAATACTAATACTACTGCTAATAATAACAAAAAAAACCCAGGTGAAAATTTGGGAATGTGGCCAGTTTGCTTCCATTTACTGACTGGAGAACAGAATTCACTGCAGTGTGGGTCAGGGGAAAAAAAATAAAATCATCCAGCAGAGAATGTAATCTCATAGAACAGAAGCTTTTTTGTGAATTTTTTGTCCTAATGTTGCTAAAGAAGAACAAATCAACATGAAATTTCAAATTTTAGCTTTCTAAATTGCCTTTTTCTGGCAAGTTTTTAAATTCGCTTAAAATTCAAAGGTTATTTTCACATGAAGTAGAATTTCCACATTTCAACTTGTGCAACTTATGTAAGGCTTGGCTTTCCTTTCCCCATTTATTTATTTTAATGGGAAATAAATATTAGCTCCTTGGTGAGATTCAGTTGTCAGGCACACCAGCATGTGGGAAAGCCTTTGTGTTCATATTTGTGTACTGTAAACAGGAGAATTTTAGACATCTATAATAGTTATATAATTTATATAGTATAGCTATATAGTATAATAATAATAGTATATATAT